AATGCGAGATTTGTAGAAGCGCGGATTGTGTGAGGCAAGTGAGAAAGATCTGTGAGAGAAGTTGTTGCGACCTTGTATTAGATATGTATGGAATGTAGACTATAGTTTAAATAGAGGTGAGAAAAATAAGGTATCTGGATGACCTATGTATAAACAAAATGCAGCTGTTGCCCATTATTGTCTGTAACAAAAGGTATAAATGCTTGCTGTAATTGTTTACCTGGAGAGAGACCTGTTTTGCTCTCTCCCTCCTCGCAATTGCTAGAGATAATAAAGTATCTGACTTGCTGCACCCAACGTGAGAGTGAGAACTCAGTTTTTCTCCGACAGATACTTGTGTATTTTTATGTCTGATTTTCTAAGCAAGTAGTTTTTAAGTGAGGTGAAACTTGGGGGTACGCAAGACAAATCAGATTCCTGAAAAGGGTACAGTAGTCTGGAAAAGTTGAGAGCCACTGCTCTAACTTAGTCTAGGACCAGCCTTCATACCCCCAGTCCTGTTTTCCATGGATGACAGCCAGCCAACTGTGCCTTCCCTTGGAAGGCCTCCACCATGGCGCAAAGTGGCAGCATTCACATCTCATGTGTAGCTCCTCTACTTTTGACATGAGAGCCATCAGGACTGAAGTTTGGATAAAAAGTTCCTTTTAGGTGGCCCCTCCCTGGTGCTAGGTTCAGGGGTAGGCAACCTATGGCACACATACCAAAGGCGGCACACGAGCTGATTTTCAGTGACACTCACACCGCCTGGGTCCTGGCCACCGGTCTGGACGGCTCTGCATTTTAATTTAATTTTAAATGAAGCTTCTTAAACATTTTAAAATTTTTATTTACTTTACATACAACAATAGTTTAGTTGTATATTATAGTAAGAGACCTTCTAAAAACATTACATTGTATTACTGGCATGCAAAACCTTAAATTAGAGTGAATACATGAAGACTCGGCACACCACTTCTGAAAGGTTGCTGACCCCTGTGCTAGGTTATCTCTGAGACATACCCCAGAGGAAGGCTCAGCTATACAGTACGACAACATCTCAACTGGCACTATATAAGAAAGAAGAACTATTGGTTCTGATATGCACCAGCTAATAAACTAAGCTAAAGAGAGAGAGAATAACTAACAGTGTGAAATACAAACTTGCTGCAGATAACACTGCTCCAAACAAGTCCATATCCCTCTCCCCCACCATGTACTTCCCTTCTTACCTCGGTGACTAGCATCAGGCCAAGCAGGTAGCATATGACTGCAATGGCCAGGGTCAGCAACTCCCGGTGCCCTTTCTTCTGGAGAACTTCTGGGTACATGTCAATAATGGCCGTCACCAGGCTCTCAACACAGATGAACTGCAGAAGAAATCATGTCAAGAAACCAAGGACCTAATGTCTCTCTTTCCCTACCCATCCTCTTTCCCACTTCCATTCTTCCACTCAGTTAGTCTCTCTCCTCTTTCTCCTACACCTGAAGCATGAACTGCTTGGAAACAGGGAAGTGTAGCTGCATCTGAGTCCCAAAGGAAGTGGAGTTACGACTGGTGCAACATCAGGAATTGAGCGCCCCTGAGTAGTGACTGGAACCACATCTGGAACTGAGTGAGATTATCTCAACCCTTACACCTTGTCACAATACAAAGGGAGTCCTAGTGAACTTAGAGGAGATTGACACAAAATGTGTAATAAAGTGCCTGGTTCCTAAGGGATGACTGCTAGCCCCTAAGGGCAGTCTTGTCGGGAAGGACACAGAAGCGTGGCTGCTGGTTGTCACTGGATTGTCAGAGACTTATGCTGGAAGGTACAGGTGCTGCAGGTCACTGTTACGGAGTAACACCTAACACCAGCTGACTGCTGGGATGTACTAGCCAGCTCTAAGTATGATCATTCTGAAGTAGTAACATGGATGTGTGACACGTGTTCTAGGTGGCTGAGAGACACATCACCATTTCCCACCCACGAGTTATGATCTACATGAGGCTCTCAAACATGTGACAGACAACCCTCCTCTTTCCCGCTAAATCCAAGGTATTTACTGTACCTGGCTGTCCAGTCCCAGGAAGATCAGCATAAGGAAGAATAGGCAGGACCAGAGCGGAGACACAGGCATCATCGTTACAGCCTTTGGATATGCAATGAATGCTAGGCCCGGACCTGCCAATCAGATAGTTGAGTAAGGATGAGGTTTCCCCAACAACAGAAACCAGTTTGATGTGCTGTTTAAAAAACTTAGCCTGCCAAGTCCTCACTTCCTCAGAATGTATCGTGGAATCGTCACTGACACACGGAATACTAACTGCTGACATGGGCTGTGTGGCTGGTTTTGGAAAGAAGAATCACGGATTTCAAAACAACAGGGAATGCAGCTCTGCTTCTGGACAGTGGCTCTATGTGCACCAGGATAGCAGAGAATACAGCAGTGGTTCTGGACAGAGCCAGCTCCAGGCACCAGCTGAGCAAGCTGGTGCTTGGGGCGGCAGATTGTTGGAGGCGGCATTCTGCCCAATCCTGGGGCGGCACGGACGCTTGTTTGTTTGTTTGTTTTTTTGGGGGGTTTTTTTTGGTTCTTGTTCCACTCTGGCTGCCCTGTAGGGGGCGGCGGTGCGGAGAACCAGAGCACCCTGCAGGGCAGTCCTCTTCCTTCCCTCCCCGCCGACCGGAGCGGAGCCCTCGCGGCAGGCGGCAGGAGGCGGCGCAGTGGGAGGGGCCGCGGCAGCGCCCCTGCTGTAGCCCTGGCCGCCCCCTTCTCTCTCTCTCTCCGCTCCCTCCTCCCC